GCAGTCTTTTTTTTTTTTTAAACCCACCACTTCAATTTAGGGCCCCTGTTTCATCTACACGCCCTATGTCTTGTAGCATTTGTAGCTCAAAATCTGATGCAGTGTTTCTTTCTCCCACTTTCTATTCTCAGACGAGAATCTCTTCGGTGTACTAATACATAAAACAAGTGAATAAAGCTGAATTATAGTGGTGTAGGCTGGCCAGGAAAACATTTGGACAGGAGCCAGTTGAACTCTACTACAGAGCAAATACAAATCCCAATCCAGGGATAATAACTGTCTTCTGTGCATTTGTCAGGCACACTGCACATACTGCTGTTTCTTCCATAATTACATTAATACACAAAGCAGTGATTAAGTGATGATAAGGTTATGACTGAAGAAAACAAAAGGCTTTAAACCCATTGGATACTGATAGTGCTGCCCAGTGCTGAGACTGGCACTGAAGCACAAAGGATGTAAGATGGTCATCACATGCAATAGGCCTAACACAATGAGGTCAGGATGGTGTCTGGACTAAACCTCTTTAGTGCTGGCTCTACAAGAGGATCTGTTGCTATGGACCCTGCTGGCCAAATGCAGTCTCATCTGTAGCATAAATATCCAGAGAAACAGGGTTTCTAGCAGAGATACTGACACGGTGTTTATGATGTGGTGCTAGTATATCTTCTTGCATAGACAGAGCTGGTTTCATGATGGTGAAGCCTAGAGATCCCATCAGTGATCAGGATCACATTGAGCTAAGCATTCTACAGACCCCTTATGAGGCTTGCTCCTTACCTTGAAGAGTTTTCAATCTAAAAAGACAAGACAGACAAAAGGTGGAAGGGGAAACCAGTATGAAATGGCATAATGAAGATCACCTAGTGGATCAATGGCAGAGCCTCCAGTGCCCAGGGTCTAGCTTCTGGATCCTGCTCCCCTGTGCGATGTTTGTCGAGCTCTCTCCCACCTGTTATGTGAGCTGTGAAAGATGAAGTCTGATTCCTGCAGCGTTTCCAGCATGCACTCCACTGAGCACTGCTTAAACGTGGAAGAGAAATCTAAGGCAAAAGACTGGGATTTTGGGGAACAGAAGAGATGCTGATTAGTTGAAAGAAGTATCCTTCGTAATTGGATTTTTGTCATTTTTTTAATACATTACAGAACATGGTTTGACGTGATGATGTTGAGCCAAAACAAAGACGACAACAAAATGGTGCTTAAGCTGACTGAGGAATAACCAGTTAGTGTTTAAAACCCAGCTAATGAAGTGTGTGTATCTAATGTCTGAGTTAATTTTCAGTCATATTTGTTTTAAGCCAGCAGGTCAATATATTTTAATTTATATGTACTATCAAACAGTCAAATATAGAAATAAACTGCCTTTTTATTTTTAAAGATGAATTAATTCTGTTTGCAAAAATATACTTAATGTACAGGAATCTTGATTCTGTGGGAGCTCCCTGAACTTTCATTTAAATAAGATTTCCATTTGTATTACATTGGAGTTGACAGAGAGGAAAAAATGAACAGCCATCTGGTAATCAGTTTATTTCCCATAATGAAAACAAATCCGCAATCTCACTAATCTAAAGGGCACAGCGAGGTAACTTTGTGAGGAGCCCGTTACTTGCAGCGCAGGCTGCTTAAGTTCATTTAGCAAGAAATAACAGTTTGCAAAGTTCCTGAAGAGTGAGATGCAACTGCTGAGTGCTGTGGGCTGATCCCAGTCTTGCTGATGGCAAAAGCTGCTCTTTATATGATTTCAGTACATGCTGCACTGGGCCCAAATGCATGAGCAAGGGCTTCTCATTTTCTAGTTTTGAAAGCAGTTAGTTTTTACCAGGAGGATTTTTGTTTATAGTAAAGCCTCTGTGATCTGGTCTTAAAATAGGAGCTAATCATATTTACACTGCCAGCATAAACAGGCCTCCGTGGAAACAAACTGGTCCCATGATGTTGCCCTGAGGGGTCAGGCCAACTCTCAGGATTTCAATATTGCGCTGTTAGACAGGAGGGTGTGACACAATTGCACATATACAAGCACACAAATCAATTAGGGGCATACACACACACAACCAGCTCAGGCACATACACATCCAAACCAGCCTACGCACATGCATACCTATCACCAATTCAAACTCATACACTATACACCCCAAACTTAGACACAGATCACTAATTTGTATATCATGTACACAATGCCACATATACATAGATACACACACTCACCAGTTCACACACACACAACCCACATACACATACACACAGGTAAGTTCCTAACTTGGATGGTACAGTGTGTATGTGTGTGCTTGGGGTACCTGGGATACTTGGGGGAAGGTTCAGGTGAGAGAGGGAGTTAAAGTGTAGAGAGTGAAAGTTGCCAGAACTGGGATTAGAACTGGTGGACTACAGAGAAGCTGGCTAAGGAACTGAGGCTTGGGTTTACTTAAGGTAGACTGGGGCTGGAAACTGAGGCAGACAGCTGAGATATGGGGGGGGGACGGGACGGATGGACAGATAAGTGGTGGCAAGGAGGAGACAACCAGGAAAGAAACTGAAGCAGAAACCTGGTTGCTCAGGGGAAAAGGAAAAGGCAGTGGGGATAAGACAGTGGCAAAGGAACAGGGCGTTTGGAGGCAGAAAGGAGCTCAGGACGGGTGTTGGGGGTGGCAGTGAGCCAGAAGCAGGAGAGGGAGAAATGAGACAGAAGTTAGAGGGGCGAGGAGCAGAGGTTGGAGCAGGGCCAAACCATAGTAAAGCAAAACGCAGCTTGGGGGTCCAAATAACAGTTTTATTAAACAGACAGCATGCTGCACAGCCCCATGAAGTTATTGGTGCGCACGCGCATACACGCACACACAGCAGGAGAAAGAGACTCGGTGGAAGGGCTGGAGTCCAGGTAGGGAAATGAAGCAGAGTCCAAGTCCTTGGTTGAAGAGGGGATGGAGGGTGATGGCTACCTATCCAGGCTAAAAAGAGGTCCTTGTCCAGTAGGTGTTGTCCAGAGGGGGGTTGCTGGCAGGGCCTCTGGGTGGATAGGTGGTGTGGCATGGTGATGGTCCAGATGGAGAGGTCATCTCACTGGGTCTGTTTTCACTGCCTCTTTTTATAGGGGCAGACCTTGTGTGACCCTAGTGACAGGAGGTATGCCCAGGCAAGGGTCAGCCCCTGGCGTACTGAGCATGTGCGCTCCATGCAGGGATGTGCAGTTTTGGGTGTCTGTAATGGTGGGGTACAATGGTAGATTTCCTGGTTCTGCAGGGTCTTTTGTCTTTTCAAATGCTGGGTTCTTGTCTCTGTTCCTGGGTGAGGTCGTGGTTCCTGGATGAATCCATGCGAGGTGATGGCCCAGTCATTACAGGCCATTCAGTAGAGGCCTGCTACCATTGTATTTCATTCATTACCAATCACTGTCATTCATCCAGGAATCAATTTACATGGGAGGGGTACGTGACTCATACAGTTGCAACATGGGATGCCCAGGCAAAGGACACAAGATGGAGACTTGACATATTAAATGGAAACTTGACATGACTTTGGTTCACTTACAAACACAGGCCTAAACATATAATATTCATATGAAACCATAAAAAACAACACAAAAATGATGATAATACAATATACAACAGTAAAAATCAATACAAACCTAATAAGTATACAATATAAAACAGTGGACATCCAAAACCAAAAACTTGCGACCAAAATAAAAATGTTAAAGCTTATCCTAAGTCTGAGTTCACTTATACTTATCTATAGGGAATAGAGAGGGAGAGAAAAAGTCAGAAATGGTTGGGGAAGGGGAGGGAATACATTTTTAAAATAAATAAATAAAAGCAAAACTGGGGGTTTTGCTACATTGACTGCAGGTGAAATTCCTCAGAGGCTCTCAAAAGCGTTATTTTTGCTACTTTTCTAAAGTTGTTCTATCAATTTTCAGGAGTGTGTGCAGAGGCAAATGGTCTAATCTTGTGTCACACTGCACAAGCCTCTAGCTTGAACACCTTGGTCATGATTAATGACCCCTCCTGGAAATGACAACCATTTTAAGGCAGTCATGGGGGACAAACCTGTCCTGGCTTACCTGCAGCCCTGCAACCTCAAAAGAGGTCTCTCAAGCAATGGGCTACCTAATACCTCACTGAGGCACCAGGCTTTGCAGTTGACCCAGATGCCACTGTGCTCCCTTATCAATACAGGCCATATACCATCATTGGATAAAATAACATAGATTATTACATCTGAGACTCATTCACCTTCACCTCTACCAACTTTATATATGCCATCATTGCCTTACAGTGCTTCTCTGCTGTCTATGTTGGATCAACAGGGTAACTCCTGATGTGAAGGAACGAGGGGACATTGATCTGACAAAAGCCTTTGGCAGAACACTTTAAACTGCCTGGACTTTCCTGACCTCAGAATAGCTGTTTTTATCCAGTAAAACTTTGAAAGCCAACTTGAACGCAAAATTGAGGAAAAGAAATCATCCACAGACTGGTTTGTGGTAAGGATGGTCTAAATAGGGGCTATAGTTTCTTATCCTGTTACTTGGATTACTTCTTGTGAGTCCTTTTGGTCCCTATGGCTGCATCCAGTTGTGTGTGGATGTTTGGTTCCCCAGGGATAACTAGTGGCGGCACACGTTGTGCTGCTGCTAGTTGTCCTTTGGGAAATGCCTGTGCCACATGCACAGTGGCATGCGGTAAGTTACCCCGGGGCAGCCTTACCTGGGAGCCTCCCAGGGCTTCAGCAGCAGCGATCCTGCCATACAGAGCCTGGCTCCAGCTCTGTGGCGTATGCTACCACCGCGTGTGCCATTCCAATTTTTCCCCCATATGGGTTTTTTTTGACCCCTGGATATCTCTCAGAAAAGCCCTCTACACTGCTCCCTTGCAGCGCGGAGAACAACGAGAGGTGTGGTATGTGGCGCCGCATATGTGTCTGGTGCGACATGCTGCACAACCATGCTAGTCTGGACGCAGCCTATGAGTTTATTACTTGTTTGCTTCTCTCAGCACTGCCCCTTTCCCCCTTCCTTTTTCTCCCTTCCTTCCTTGTCTTGTATATTCAAATCACTCTATTTAGTATCCTGCTCTGTGGATGCCATTTCATAGCATCTGATGAAGTGAGATCTTACTTGGGAAAGCTTATACATCTTTGATTCAGTTGGTCTATAAAGTGCATCTCTACCCTGCCTAGTGCACAGTAGTTGCAAAGCTGGGCACTGTTGGGGGTGGGGAAATGTCATCTCTTCATAGTTAAGAGTTGCAATCGAATGCCAACATGTATGGGCAACAGGCAGGAATGTAGGCTCTCGGAGGTATAACCGGTCAGGTCTGTGCCGGGGCAGCAGCCAGAGCTGGACCGCTAGTGGTGGTGTGGCAACCAGGAAAGCAGCTCCTGGAAAGCAGACCCCCAGTTACGTTACTGTAGGCTCTTTAAATGTGTCAATCTTCTGGTAGGGAAGGGACTGGGGAATTTTATCAGTCATGGGACTGTATTCTGGAAACTGTGCCTCAGCTCAATTTTGAGGAGATGAGGTACAGGGTAAGATTTTAGAGAGAATTTTTCTTTCTGGTGGCCTGTCAGGAGTCCTAGAAAACAGCCAGGAAAGAAGAGCCTTTCACAGTTCTGGTTGCTAAAAACTATGGAGGCCTTTGGTAATTGGGCCCAAGTGCTTTGTGCTGCTTTACTCTTGCTTTAATTTCTGTGTGTGTATGTGTGTGTGTGCACGCGTGCACGTGCACACATGCACACGTGTATGAAATCTAAAGAGAGAAAAATGTAGTTTGGGCTCTACTCCCTTGATGCCCCTAGCTTAGAGGACACCTTGGTAATGGTGGACAACACAAAATTTAGGCTGGTTCCATTTTGAGCCTTATTTTTCTTTTCTGTTTAGCAGAATTAGAGAAGATCTTTGAGAGACAGAGCTGTCAAAGGGTGAAGACAGTGGGCCAGCACCCCGCCTGTGTTAGGGCCTGTTTCTGCATGTCTTCTCTCTTTCTGCCTTGTCTGCTTTGCCGATGATTCAGGGCAGGACGGTCTCTGCCTAACATGCTTGTACAGAGACCGACTCAGTGCAGCATTAATTTTTATTGGGGTCTTTAGGTGTTTCTTTAATATAAGTAATATTACTTGGCCTTAATGTTTCTGATACCTGTATGGATAGAGTAGATTGTCTTCTTTAAATCTGAAGCAATTAATGACATGATTTGAAAAGTCCAGCCGGCTAGAAGCTGTTCTGTTTGCTTCTCTGGAAAACACGAGTTTTTTGCCATTTCTAAATTTACAATGACATGATTCACACCCTTAAAGACTTGTCCATACGGGGCTGTAAGAGCAAGCAGGTTAAAAGTCATAAATAAGTCATCCTCACTAATGACTCTATCCCAGTTGCTGAATTTGGTCTTGAAAGGTTTCCACATTAATACTCTGAAGGCTGAAACTTTCATGACCGCATTCTGGCATGTAGTGCTGACATTCCTTTGCCAACTTGCTGATGCTAGGAAAACTTCCAAGCCCAAAGCTCTGGTGTGTAAAATATTACTTGCCAGCATGATGGTAGAGGGATCCACTTTCCTTGCCAGCCCATTGGAGCAGAGATTTGTTTTCTATCGGAGTTAAGTCCTCCAAATATTGCACTTGGGTTCCCCCCGCTACCGCAAAATATGCAATGAACAGTTATGATTGCAAGCTTGCTCACTGCTGTCAGTGAAAAATCAAGTGTGGGGAATCGGGCCAGTTCTTCCCAGATGGGGCAGTCCGTAAGATGTGGCTGAGATCCTGAAAGACAACTGCAAAGCTAATCTGAATGACTGCTTGCAAGTTCAGCCTCAGTCCACGATCAGCTTCCTGGCATGGCTCGGTCTAGAGCAGATGGAAGGGAGTGTAGGCCCAGGATCTCGCACTCCTCATTGCATGGCGGGAAGACTGGCAGCTTGGAGGGAAATAGGATCACATGTGATTCAGCTTATTAAGTCTTGGGTACAGATGTTATGCATTACTGTAGTTTAATTACATATAGGACTTTGCTACACGTGAAACTTTCTGCACTGAACATAAATCACAGTGTACGGTTTTCTGCACATAACACTTTATACTACGATCATGCTAGAGTATTCTTTGGTAGAAGACATAAAGCCTCGTAGATGAATTGCTGCCCAGCACTTTTTCACATTCAGCTGCCACTGGCAGAAATCAAGTCTGGGATGGTGGTACAGTAACTTGTATGAAGAACTACTTGCTGATGGGCCTCTAAGCCCAACTGCTATCTTGTGTAGTTTAGCAGCCCAAGAACCTGGCATTTTCCTTTGTCTGAAGGGGAGAAATAACCAGTATCTGTATTTGGGTTTGATAGCTCAACTCCACCTCCATGTCTTTGTAGAATCTTCTTGCAGATCTGTAGTTTAGCAACACGAGCAAATTTTGAGGGCTCAGCAGCTGCCATGGTGATGCTTGTGACCAGATGTTCAAAGCACTTGGCATCCAACGTGCTGAGCTCTTTGGAAAATCTGGCCCTTAGTGTCAGGCCTTGGTTATCCAGATCAGCCAACCTCCTCTCGCTCAACAAGCTATGTTATGGAATTGGAGAATGCCTCAGAAGAAACCTCTATCCATTCTGCTATGGTTGTATTTTCTATCACTAAGGCTATGAAGGAGCATTAAAGGGTTAAAAACATTGCCCCCACATTGTCAAGCTGGAAGTTTCCTGTGGTTCTCTACAGGAGGATCTGCAGGGTGGAGGTAAGGAGACTTACTTTTTGCTGTAACGGAGACCGCAGGGGTGCTTTCACAGGCACTTGCTTAAGGAAAATTCATAGCTCAGCAGAAACTTGAAGGCTTTGGAGAATAATTTTACAAGCAACAGCTTTTGAGCATCGAGCCTCAGAGAAATGGCTGAGTCTATGGAAGGTATTTGGGATTTATTAGAAATGTTGCTAGGAAGGTGGTAACATATAGCCTATTTTTATACTTGACTTCCCTTTTGGTTACTTTGGAGATTTACATGCCCTGATCAGTGACATGACATAACCCTAAAATCATGGAGCATTTAACTGTGGATGTTGGTGAAGAAGAGCGTGTCAGACATTTATTGCTGCCTCCTAATTGTCAGTAGGTAATTTCCCCTATCATTCTGTAACGCCAGCAGGGCAACGTTCCTCAGTCGCAGAAAATGCCAGCTGTGCATTTTGGAGAGCTTAGGATGCTTCTGCCTGGGAGAAGATGGTCCATATTATCTGCTTAGCAAAGGAGAAATAGAATATTCTATGTAATTCTAATAGGTTTTTTACAGGTACTATTGATGTAATTTGAAAGTCTCCATTCTTATGATTTCTGTCAGTGATCCTTGAAGCAATCACTCTTAAAAAGAAGGCCAGTAATCCATTTAATTATTGAAAAATGTTGGATTGTCCAGTTTTTGGACTCGGCTTTTGGACAGATTCTGATGCAAACCTAAAATATTTAACTTTACACCCACTTCTCTCTAGCAGAATGCCATGTCCAATAGCTCCTGACCTTCAGGAAAGTTTGAATTTAGTTTTTGATCTGAACTTTTGAATTGAGGCGGGTAGCTAGTATTTAGCCTGTCCTCCCTCAGTTTTTAATCTGCTAATTAAACATGTTTTCTTGCCTGCATCACTCTTGTGTTCAGCCACTGGGCTCTCAAGGAATAAGGGGGCACATGCAAAGATCCATTCAACCAACAACCTCTGCCTCCTAAGTAGTACAGCAATTCTGCCAAGTGATTCACTCGGAATCTGTGCTTAAGCTTGCATCACCGCTAGCTTGACAGTGAGGTATGGCAACACTGCAGGCTCTTACAGCTCAACGCATCTTCCTCATACTTAAGTTTACAGTGAATTTTTGCAGTGTTTTTCAGCGATTCTCATCAATGTTTAGAACAGTCTGGTGGGTAAAACTTGGAGGTCTTTTGAATTGTAGCTCTGAGAGGTTTCATTGCCACACCAATTAAGATTCAGTAATATATTAGATAGTAAAATGGAACCTTGTGAGGAGAAGACTGTATCAGTTTAATGTGCATGCAGTAATTACCTATTTTGGGGTGACATTTAATAGACTCCAGTTCATTGCTGCTCTTTTAAGCCTTTTGTATAGGGATTGCTGGGAAAGAATGTGCACTTAACATTTTGGGATCTGACAAAAGAGGAGAAAATTATACCCCTCGGCTATATCCTTTTGATCTTGTATTTTTACCAAGGTGAAAATGAGGTGTACGCCAGACATAAGATACAGAGTATATTTGAGATCTTTACCTAGATTGTTTTGATAATTCCTCTGTGTGTTCATTCTGTGTTTGGATGTTATTAAGAGTAATAACACTAATCCTTGTAATTCTGATCGCAGAAGCATTTACAGAAGTATTTATTTCATACTGAAGGTTTTCTTTTTCTTTTGGCGGTGGGGGGGGGGGGGCTACTTCCCTCCTTTTCTGAACCTTTTTTGATTAATTAAATGGTAAAGTTATGGTTTTGCAGCAGCTGG